CCTGAGGGGCCCTTTTAAAGCAGAAGCCATTATGCTGTAAGACAGACAAACCTTGGTGACACACCAAGTGAAACAAGCAGATGCAAAGGGGCAAATGTTGTGTGACTGCATTATGTGAGGGGCCAACAATCAGCAAATTCATGGGGACAGGAAGTGGAATGGTGGCTGCTAGGGGCTGGGGGAGGGAGATGGGGACTAATTAATTAATAGTTACTGAATTTCATTTTGGGAAAATGAAGTTTTGGAAATATATGAAGTGATGATTGTACACATGGTATTTGGACTTGATATCATAGAGTCATATACATAGGAATGATTAAAGTAATGAAAAATTATGTGTATTTTACCACAACTTAATAAGTCATTCCATATTTGACCAAAATATTCCAACAACTACCGTCTTGCACAGGGTAAAAGTCTACAGCCTCCCAACACCCCAGGAAGCCCTGCTGTCTGCAGTCCATGCCCCCACCCCTCAGTCTCTCTCTCCAATGCATTCCTCCATTCCTCCAGTCTCAGCTTGTCTCCTGTCCTGCTGTCCCCTCTCACCCACTGGCCTCCTCCCTTCCCCAAGGCCACCCTCTCCCTCCTTTATCTTCTGTTCTGCTTCAACCCCTCCTTCACCTCCCCCACTCACCAGTCTCTTCCTGTTAGACACTATCTATCATGTCCCATTTTCTTCAAGGTTTTTATTCCCATCTGTGATTGGCCTGCTTATTTCCAGAAGCCCACACTCTCCTGGCCACCTCTGATCCAGGAAAGTGAAGACTTGGTCTGATTTACTCACTGCTGTGACCTCACGCCCGGAAACGGTGCCAGCACAGAGAGCCTCATGAGCCTCACAAGACAAGTCCACAGACTGTCCTGATGCAAAAAGTGTGGGATAGCTTCTCACCTTTTTAGTTTAAGCTCTTCTCTACCTTCTTAGTTTCTATTCCCTTTTGCTCTGAAAAACCTCATGGGCTTAATATTTCCCTCCTCAAGGAATATTTTCATTTAATGAAGAACAAAGACATAAACTGAGAAACAAGGTATGCTGTGCCCCTCTGTAGCTAGAGCTGGGCTGGAGGGACAAGCATGGGGACGTGGACACATGGACTGGAGTCTTCATTCTATTCTGTAAGCCAAGTGAGGCTGTAGACAGAAGGCTAGTAGTGATTTTGGGGTAAAATAACAATGGCGAGGCCCTCCCTGGTGGTGCAGCGGGTTAAAGCACAGCACTAAGAAGCTAAAGCCACGTCAGCATGAGTTGGATCCCTGCTCCGGAGGTGACCACAAGGCACCCTCAGCAGTGTACTTGGACCATCTGCCTGTTCTGCTCCCCACTCTTGTCTTTGGCGAATCTTCTCACTGCCCTGTAGCTCTGGCCTGTACCCCAGTTCTGTCTGCATAAATAAATCTTAAAAAAAAAAAATAGCCTTACCTTGAAAACTTTGCCTAAGCCTCTGCAAAGAGAAGCAAAAGGCAACCTGGAGCAGGGATCATACACCAACCCCTGATCCAGGTGAGAGCTACCTAGTTCTCAACAGTTCCCTCAAGGAAATGTGCTCAACTCCCATTTCTGGCACTCACTACACTCATCCAGTTAAAGCCAGAATATAGCTCTTTGTAGCTATGACGTGCAAAAAAGGTAGAAGTCAGGACATGCCCCCAGGATAGAGAGGCTAGAGAGAGTCTCAAAACCCACAGCAGTTATCTGTGGAGCAAGGCCCTCCCTCTGGGGCCGCCCATCTTGTTACTGAGGAGGATTTGTTGGCAAAGAGAAACTCAGACTTCTGTTTCAGAAGAAAGTTAAGAGCCTGTACAGTGTTTTTCCTTTTTCCCATTCTGCATATGACTAGATGACTCAATTTTAAATTTTGGCTCAGCCCTGAGGTGCTCGCTACACTTCCTCTCATTTTTAGCACAGACTTGGAATGGGGACACCAAGCCACCAGAATACGGCCTGAAAATGCCACTCAACCTTTATTGGTTTCCATACATCCATTCCGTTTTCACTGAAAATAGTGCTAGACTTTTTGATTTATAGAGTAATGTCTTCTGCTCTTTCGCGGAGGTTTTCAGGACAGCCAGGTAATTTGGAGCGTTGAATCCTGTCCGCTCTAGGGAGTTGGCGCGCCCTCTGCTGGCCGATGTTTAAAAGTACTGTGTAAAAAAATCACAAAGCTGAGGGAATGAGGGGCCTCAGAGGAGAGACCCTTCTGCAGAGCTGGGCTGTGTACGGTGCCCAGATCTGGTTTGGGAGGAAATATATAAAAGACACTGAATGTTGATCGGCTTCACAAAACAACCTCTTTGGTTGTTTTACAAAGGACTCTAATTCCTTTATGGGAAAAATAATCTGGGTTGCATTTCTTTTTTAAATTGCAATAGTCAGAGCCACAGTGACAACCGGAGAAAAGCTGGTCCAAAGGGCGGGACTGAAGCACCAACCACGCTAAGTGGCCAAGTGTGAGACCTGAGTCTTTCCCTCCTACATTGCATGTAGCAAAAGTGGGGGAGAAAGTGGACCACAAAGTTGGTTGTTGAGTTACAAACTGTAAATAGGTTAACTGTTCATTCTTATTGAGTAATTAAAACTGATTAATAAAGGAAAACCCGGCACCCAGAACTGGCACTCTTTTCCCTATAGAATGACTCAACGGTTCTTTTTTGCTTTCCTTTTTATTTCCCCTAACTATCTGTCATATGTGACCCCAAAATACTAACAGACAACTCTCAATTGAATTCTAGGCAAAATACTGGAGCACTAATGCCCGCGAGATTGAAGGCACAGTTTTTGACAAGAGCGGGAAAGCTGTGCATCGGCTCTTTGGAAAGTGGCATGAGAGCATCTATTGTGGCGGCTCCTCCTCCTCCGCTTGCGTCTGGAGAGCGAGTTCGTGCGGGGTTAATCTCCAGGGAAGGGGGGGGGGGGAGTTCTCAGTGTCCAGTCCACGTCTCTCTGCGGGGAACTATGTTGCACGTGCTCCAAATCATATCTCAGATTCATCCTCGTGCTTATGAACAATGGCTGGTTGGGCTGCGGGCTTCTGCTTTCTTATTCTAGTACAAAGCTTTTACTACTCCTGCTCACTCTCAGAGGGACTCTCCAAGGCAACACACTTGTGCCTGTAGCAGGATTAGCAATAGAGGGAAGCCAATCTAGTGGAGGACAACGAAAAGAGGTGCCTGGGGGATACGAGAAGAGTTAGGAACCCCAGAGAGATTCCCAACCCCAGAGAGATTCCCAACACATAATCTGCTTTAATCTCTTCTGTAACTCCAGAAGAATACCAAACACTTGAAGCAGTTGTAGGGAGAGAGATTGGGGAAACCAACCCTTTGACATGTCCCCTAAACATTTTAAGACTTTAGCTCTCTTCTAATTGGTTCAGTGTGTTTCCAAGTTATGGTCATACGGTAAAACCATGGTCTTAAGATCTACCCATTGCATGTTTTAGGCAGATCAAGACAAGCCACGCTAACATGAGTTTAGCCTGTTGGGATATGTGCTGTTGCTAGTGGCCTGGGACTCACCTGGCAAGTTACCTGAATAAGGGCCCCAATCACTGCAAACATGTTCTGTTCTGCCATTCCCATTTTGGCGGCAGTGTTTTTCCTTGATGCAAAGCGGGTGTTGTGATTCAGTATGCTAGCCCCATACAACAGCACACCAAGAAGGAAACTTAGAAACTGCATTTTTTCTTGTCCCTCTCGCTTCTCAGGAATCAAATACTTCCTAGAATCCCCTAGTAAATATGTCTTCACAACTCATCAACTTAAAGTAGGTCCAAACCCATTCTGAATCGATCCCAGGCAGGAGAGACTCCCATGGGTGTAGGGTCACCCCCTAGGGAAGGCACATGCCACAGGAGGTCAGTCTCCCTATAGGAAGAAAGAACAGAGGGTGGCCACATTCTCCGCTGCTGCCGAGGTCACCTTGGAGCTAGAGTGATGTGGCACAGGGGTCGCCTTCCTTGTGGCAGGGGTTCTGGGCACACAGGAGTGACTGTCACGATGAGACTGGCCATCTTATCTGGATGCTCGGCTGATACCCGATGAAAGAACCCAGTAAGCTGCCATGGATGGTACTGCTCCACCTTGGTCATGAGCATCCCTGGCCCATCTGCAAGAATCCCTGTGTTCACTCTGGTGGTTGGGAGCTGGGGAGGATTTGGAAGGCATAATAGGAAGCTTTGCGGCAGTTTTCATATTTCTATTTTCAGGTAATTAGAAGTAGAATTAGACAAAATGGACTTCAGGTTTCATTAAATGTGCAGAAAAGTTCATGGAAGGTATTTGTATGTATATATCTGAACACCTAGAGTTACGGCTATGGGTGGATCTTATTGGTCTGCATTTGATTCACCCAGTATGCAAAGTTGGGTGTTTTTAGCTGGAATTCAACTTTGGGCAATACACTTGCATTAGTCTTCCATGGTTGCTTAAACAAAATACCACAGCCTGGATGGCTGTAAACAACAGAAATTAATTTTGCTGCAGTTCTGGAGGCTGGGTAATGAAAGATCAAGATGCTGGCACATTCAGGTTCCTGTGAGGGCCCTCTACTTGGCTGGCCCCCCTTTTGATCTTGTTTCACCCAATTCCCTTCTCGAGGACTCTTCCATCTCCAAACAGAGCCACACTGTGGATAAGACTTCAGCTTATAAAGTCTGGGAGGACACACATTCAATCCCTAATCTTCTGTACTAGACCTGCCCCCCCAATTATGTCCTTTTCACATGCAGAATACATTCACACCACCTCAGCAGCCCCCCATATTTTAACTCATCACAGCATCATCTGCAAATTTCAAAGTTGCATCTAAATATCCTCTAAATCAGGTATGGGTAAGATTCGAAGTATGATTCATCCTCTCCAGCTGTGAGCCTGTAAAACCAAAATGTGCTTCCAAAAAATGATTATGGGGTAGAGATAGGACCGATATTCCCACTTCAAAAGGGAGAAAGCAGAGAGAAGGGTGACAGTCCCCAAACAAGTCTCAAACTTAACAAGACAAATGCCATGAGGCAACAAACAGTCCTTTCACTCAGTGCTCTTCCTTCTGAACCCACTGGAGCAGTGACCCTGACCCCACAGCTTTAAGGTTCTGGGTGGTGGCAGCCTGGCAAGTTGAAACCAGAGTAGAGGGCCCAACCCTTTGAAAGGTGGAGGCAGTGTTGTCCTCAGGGGCTGGGTAGTCTGGGCCTGTAATGGGAGTGGCAGCCTGATGATCTCAGATTCACCTTCAGGCTTCCTTCCCTTTTCTTGAAGGATAGAACACTTGTTCACCCTGTAAAATGCCAACAGTCCCACTGTCTGTCTGTCTTCTCCCTCCTCCTCTCTGTCCCCTCTCAATTCCAGCTGACATATTTTTACGAAACACTATAATCTGTCCTGGCTTTTGGTATGATTGCTTTAAATTTATATATGTAAAACTTGGTGAGGCAAGAGTTGGTAAAAAAGAGAACAAAAATGGACAAAGAGAATAACATTTATTCACTTGCTTTGGATTCAATGCTAATTCTGGGCACAACACAGTTTCAGGAGAATCTAGCTCTTAAATGAAAAAAGAATCCTCCAAAGTGAGACTTTTCTTAGCCAGGAAAAATGGACCCAGAGTTGTTAAAACATGTTTATATATGTAACAGATTATTTTCTAGCTTGAACAATATAGCAACCACACAGCATTGTATAAATCTGCTGTACATAAATTTGTGTTATTCTTGTAGGTAGAGGAAAGTATATTATGGAGAAAATTCATGGAGTAATATACTCAGCATCTATTTGTTAGCCAAAAATATTTTAATAGAATTGGAAGTGTTTGTAACTGAGAGAGAAAAATTGCAGGCTAATCTGAATTGAGGGAGGTGAAAGAATTACAATGCAACATAAATGAGATGTAAGTGATAAATGATTTCTTTTCTTTCAGACCCCATGCCAAAAGGCTGTGAACAATATTATGGATTCACACAGTTTGCACTGGAATTAAATGAAATGGATCCATTGTCAAAATCTTTATTACCGCCCACTGACACTCGGTTTCGGCCAGACCAAAGGTGAGCATTGCTTTAAACTCTTTCTCTCCAAACATAAAAGCTCATAAAAATCTTATTAGCAGGGCCCTCCATGGTGGCACAGTGGGTTAAAGCACAGCACTAAGAACCTCTCCAAGCCCTGCAGAATGAGTTTGATCCCTGGCCAGATAGGTGACCCACATGGCACAGCAGACCTCTTCTGATCCACCCGCTGCATCCCTCAGCAGTGTATTTATCTGCCTGTTCTGCAACCCACTCTATCTCTGATGAATCCTCTCACCCCCACACCTCTGGCCTGTGCTCCACTTCTTGTATGCACAAATAAATAAATCTATGAAAAAAAAAAACTTGAAGATGAATGTTTACAGCCAAGAAAGATCACCAGATATATTATTAAATCAGAGGTAAAAGAAAACTAAAAACCAAGGTATAGCTATTATGTATAACATGCTACCACTTATGTCTTTAAAAGGGAGGCAGGGGAAGAATATATATTAGTGATCTTTATATAATAAATTCTTATATAACGAATTGTACAACAAATCTCTAGAAGGCTACACAAGAAACTTGTGATGGGAGTTACCTATGGTAGGAGAGTGAGGGTAATGGGTTGGGAGGAATAGGGAATTAGAGATAGGGATGAGAAGGAAACTACCCGAGATTGCTTTTTGAGACAAACTCCTGTGAATCACATAACTATAACCAATTAAAAAAATGACTACATCAAAATACTGTTTTAAGGGTTGGAGGAAAGACAATGTATAGAAAAGTAGTTTGAATATCCAGCCTTGAACATGTACACGTCTTGTAGAATGGTTGTTATAATGTCTTGGAATTGATATTCCTTTAATTTCCCTTAATACCTCAGGTTTCTAGAAGAAGGGAACTTAGAAGAAGCTGAAATACAGAAACAGAGGATTGAACAGCTGCAGAGAGAAAGGCGGCGGATCTTAGAAGAAAATAATGTGGAACACAAGCCACGGTTTTTCAGGTCTGTGAAATGCTCGGATCCTATGGGTGCCTTTGCTTCTGGGGTGAGGAAAGTAAACTGAGGTGTTCCCTCCCAAAGGAGCGTGCTCTCAGTATCTTTGCAGCTTCAGAGGGGAGAAAGCTCTCCGTGCTGTGTATGAACACGTTCCTCCAGGCTACCCGCCGGCTGTCTTGGGCAGCGAGGCATCTTCTTCGCTGAATCTCCTTCCCAGCTGCCTCTCCACACCTTGCTGGTAACTTTGCACAGGAGGTATTCATTCACTCATTGCTTGGGGGAGAAGCAGGAAGCCCTCATGAAGCAGGCTCCTAGTACCAGACCAGCTTAATAATTCCAAGGCAAAGGTTGCCCACCCACATTTTATATAACGGCAGGGAAAAGTGTGTATTCCACATTGTCTAATTATTTTCTTCCAGAAGTTCTAATATACAGATGTACCATAGAAAGAGGGCAGGTTTGGTTGCAAACCAGAGCAATAAAATATCAAATAAAGCTAATCACATGATTTTTTTTTTATTTCCCAGTGCATATAAGTTATTTTAAGCCATACTGGCCTGTTATGTGTGCAGTTGCATTGTGTATTAAAAAAAAAAAAAAACAGGGCCTACTTTGGTGGCTCAGCCAGTTAAAGTGCAGCACTGCTAAGCTAGCAATAGCCCTTCCAGCACAAATTTGATCCCCAGGCAGGGAGGTGACCCACATGGCACGGCAGACCTCTCCTGACCCACGTGCTGCTCCCTTCATCAGTCTACTTCGTCAGTCTGCCTATTCTGCTCTGCACTCTCTCTGGTGAATCCTCTTACTGCCTCTGCACCTCTGGCCTATACCCCAATTTTGTATGCATAAGTAAATAAACCTTTGAAAAAACATAAAAAATAAAACAATGTGCATGTCCTAATGGAAAAATACTTTATTCTCTGTGGCCATACCACCCTGAACATGCCAGATCTAGTCAAAAAATACTCATTGTTGAAAATATTAACCATCATCTGAGCCTTCAGTGAGTCATAATTTTTAGTTGAAGGAGTGGCTGGTTACAAAAAAAAAAAAAACACCCTGTAATACTTGTTACTTGGACTTGGATAAGAAACCTCTACTATTAATTTCAAATTAACTTGCTAAGAGGTTATCATTAAAAAAAAAAAAACTTAAAGATTTAGAAGTCACATCAGAACTCATCAACCCTCACCTCTCCTTTTATTTCAATTGAGAACAACTTCAGGCCCAGATATAGGTGATCTTTGGAAGGATGCAGTGAATGCTTCTGGCCACCTTTTACTCTGTTGACTGCAGGCCGGGGCTCCAGACAGTTTTAGTTTTTGTTTGTGCATTTTTAAAAAGCCAACATTAAAACAGGCACATGTAAGAAAACAGCAAGCTGGTGGAAATGTAAACTAGTACATCTACTGTGAAAAACTGTTGGGAGGTTCCTCAAACTGCTAAACATGGAGCTTCCCTATGACCTAGCAATCCCACTCCTAGGTATCTACCCAAAAGACACAAAAAGATACTTGCACCCCCATGTTTATTGCTGTTTTAGTTACAATTGGAAAGACATGGAAATAGCCCAAATGCCCAAAAGTGGATGATTGTATTAAAAAGATGTGGTACATATACACTATGGAATATTACTCAGCAACCAAAAAAAAAAGAAACTCATGCCTTTTGCAGCAACATGGATGGAGCTGGAAATGATCATGCTTAGTGAGATAAGCCAGAAAGAAAAGGAAAAATACCAAATGGTTTCACTCATAGCAGGAGTATAACGGACCAGGCGAGAAAATAATAATAATAATAATGAATAGTTATATACCAGAGAAAATTTAGGGGGATGGAGTGGGGAATGGGATCAAAAACAGTGGGGGGAGGGAAATGCACTGGACTATGGTGATGGCACACAGTTGATTTAGTGATGGGAAGCCCAATGAGATTACAACTGAGATGGAAAAATGCTCCTGGCCACCTCCTGGCACAAAATTATGTAAAAATAAATTATTATATTATTTAAAAAGAAAACAGCAAGCACCTGCCCTGTCCCGCCCACCCCATCTTGCTTTCAGCGTGGCCACAGTTTTATTTGCCTCAGGGTGGTTTTTGATTACCATTGTTTTTAATGAGCCACAGGAACACTCCTAAGAAGATTTAGCTAACAGTGAAAGATGTATTCCAAAATAGCAACAAGTACTAGTCTATCATCCAATTATAATGCACTTTCCCCTAGAATTGATGTGGATTTTGCCAGATCCCCACTGACCATTTCTACAAATTCAAGATGTAAACCAGAACTTCATCCTGAAATATTCATGTTTGCTTAAGCATTTTAAATAACAGGCAACTTAAATTACTTGTTGCTAAAGGCAAGGGATAGATACATGGATATACTTACAGACTAATCAGCTGATTTACTGATTAATTGATAGGTATAAAAATATAGTCATAATAAGTAGGTTGTTTTTTTCCCCATAAATTATCTAGTTTTATTTTTAAACAAGGATAATCTATACTTATAAAAATCTGCACTTGAAAACATCAAAAGTAATGTCAAAGATTGGTGGAGCTCTATGGAAAATGAATTAACATTTAAATACAAAATATAAAATGTCATTGAGGCTGTTACTGTAGTCATTAAGAATTATGTTTGGAATAGAAAGGGCTGAAAGCACCTGCAGATAGGGAAACCCAGCTTTTTATTTTTTAAGTTGTAAAATTATTACATTTGCAATTTGAAGGTAGCAAATAAAAAAGTGAAGAGAAGATGACAGTTGTTCAGCTGTAGGGATCCTGGCAAAGAGAAAACAGAGAGGAATGTGTCCTCTTGGATATTTTCATTAAAACTCGTCAAGCAACAATGATAACATCACTAGGAATTCCAAGTGAAAACTACAGCTTGGGCAGAATCAGACCTTTTGTTTTATAGTAAAGTATCTGACATGCAAATTATCTCATTTTAAATACACCCCTATATCAGAAAAAGGGAAATAAATCTGACCCAAATCTGTGTTCCTGAGATTGTAGAAAAGCAGGCTTTTTTACTTTTGCTTCTAAAACCTGTAACAGTTTGAGTCCACATTGCAAGTACTCATATTCTTCAACAGTAGTGCAATTTACAGAAATTTTTAATGTAACTATACTTATGCCATGCAAAATAACATATGCTTGGTTCCTAACAGCTAGAGACTGAAAACAACCCCCTCTATGCCTCTCAGTAGGTAACCGTTAGATAAAGTGTGGTCCGTACACAGGGATATCATGCAACTAATTTAAAGCTCCTGCATGTCACATGAGCGTATATTCTTCCGTTATAAGAAAGTACTCAAACGACCAGGCCCAATAATGGATTATGAAAATAAGGAGAAGGTTAGATTTGGGCCCTGACTTATAGTTTGCTGACCTTATTGTGCTAATGGGCAATGATCTCCTCTACATATGTGTGTATACAGCTACATACAGACATGTGGATGTATGTATTATTATTGCATCAAAACTCAAGGATAGAACAATGTAAAACTACCACTGTGTAGAAATTGGGAGGGCTGGAGTGTGTGCGTGTGTCCATGCACACTCACGCATGAATGAATATTCTCTGAAAGAAATGAAGCTGATATAGAACTGGGAGGCCAGGAGAGAAAACTTTTAGCTCTACCTACTATCAACCCTTCTGTACCTTTTAATTTTTTTTTTAAAGATTTATTTATTTTTTCATACAGAATTGGGGTACAGGCCAGAGATGTGGAGGATGAGTGGATTCACCAGAGACAGAGTGGGGAGCAGAACAGGCAGATCAAGGAAGTACACTGCTGAGGGGAGCAGTGGGCGGGTCAGGAGAGGTCTGCCACACCATGTGGATCTCCTCCAGGGCAGGCAGGAATCAAACTCATGCTTAAGCTTCTTGGTGCTGTGCTTTAACCCGCTGTGCCACCGGGGAGGGCCATGTACCTTTTAATTTTAATCTATATAACGTGTTCATTATTCAAAGCATAGTGAACCAAAGCTCTTCTTTTCAGATTGTTAGTGCTTTTAACTCCTGTTTTTAAGAATTTATCACTTGATATGAGTGCTGTGGTTGATTTGTAGTCTTTACATAGTCATACACTAATAGTCCAGCCCAGAGCTTGCTTAACTTAAGACAAACTCTTCCCTCCCCCTTTGTCAAGCTGCTACGTGTGAGGGTACAAAGTTAGACGTGACTAAATGGTTGTCAGGTCTCTGGTCCCCTCCGGTTCCAGTAGTGGCCTGTCAGGAACACTGCATGCATGTGAGAATGATAGGTGGCGGGGGTGTGGGGGGCAGGCGGGTAGAGGAGGACAGGAGAGGAAGAGGTGTGGGAATATTTTCAAAGCCTTCAATACATCATTTCATCTTTCACAGGAAATCCTCTGATGACTCCTGGGTGAGCAACGGTACCTATTTGGAACTTAGGAAAGATCTTGGTTTTTCTAAGCTGGACCATCCTATCTTGTGGTGAAAAGGAAAGAAGAATGATCTGTCCTTGCACTTCTGCGTTTGCTTTCTGAAGTCACAAGCGTGTCTGTACATTTAAAAGAGAGTGTCTAGATGATCATTTGTGCTTAGCTTAGTGTTGTCAGTATTTAAATATATTCTTCAGTAGATTTCCTTACAATTTCAGTTGTTCTCACAATTGTTTATATATGAATGTAGAACACCTTGAAGTTTCTTTTTATATATGTAAACTATTTAATAAAAATGAAAGCTTGAATGTTAATGTGTGGGTTAAAAATGAAGCTTTAACACTAATTTTCCAAAGGATAGGAAAATTTAAATTAAATTTATGCCTTATAAAGTTCTGTTGGAGGAAAAAAGGTGCATTAAGAAATAAGAATACCCAGGGTCACCTACCCATGTGTAAGCTACCCAAGTTTAATTTGGTAGCTTAGATATCTCTTTGCCTTGGACAGCTCTTGAATTGCTTACAAAGAACAATTCTGCTGGTGCTGGAGTCAAAGAATATTTGCATTTGTATTTTTTGTGGTTGGGGGGATGGTATGCAAGTAGTGAAATATGTTTTTATATAAAACAGATATGGCACCTTCTTACAGAGAAAGCGTTTGAGCTCATCCTTCCTATGGTCATATTGCCTTATGTGCAAAAGTATACCTGTGCTCAGAGCAATCGTTAATCCCAGAAATGACCATTCCGTGGTTGGAGAGATGGTAGATTTCTCCTACTAGCAAGAACTGTGTCCTTATCGAGTTAGACTATTGTGCACTTTCTGCCCCACCCGCCTCCTGCCCTGTGGGACCACATCTGTGAGTGTGGTTTTCCTAGTTCACATGAAACATACAGTACTTTCCACACACAGTTGGACTTTCTAAAAGTTTAGTGAAATAACTGATTGTTTTCAATAGCGCCACATGGTTTTCTTAAATACTGTTTTGGTATTTTCTACCTCTTAATAAGCACCGTATTTTAGATCTTCTATAAAAGTTTGACCATCTGCCTTATAGACAAATGTAGAGAATTGATGCTCTTCCTTTGTGTTGTGTTCTGACAAATCTTTAAGTGTCTTATCCCTTTCCTACATTTTCTTCTTACTCATAACACCCTTTTGTGAGTTTTGCAGCAGTCTTAAATGACATAGGTTATAACTACCTAAAGGGGACACTTTGTCTTTTTACACAGGTTGTTTCAAATTATAGTAATTGAATTTGTGCAGTAGTTGAATTGTATTATGAAAGCAGTGCCAACTTCTGCCCAGATTACATTAAAACCAAAGCCTAATTTTTGAGCCTTTTACTTTAATGTCCATAACAAATTGTATGGGACATCAAGTATAAAGATATGATAAAAAGATTGCTCCAGAGAACATTTCAGATATTTAAATAGCTTCAGAGCATGCAGAATATTATGAATGAAAAGTAGAATAAGTAACAAGAAAAAAAGAATGCATGATTTTTCAACATCACATGAAATATCAATTGGACAGCATTGCAATTTCAAAGCATAGAGTAATTTTAAGTGGATCAGTAGCCTTTTGGAATCAGCAAGCAAATAGCATTTTATAACCATAAATAAATTAAATATTACATTAAATATTGCATTAACTACTCCATTTTATGAAGATATCATAACGTAGACAATGTGAATATCATTTCCATTTCTAAGCAGTTAAATACATAATCAGATTCTTTGGTATGTGCTTTATCCTTTTCTTCTCAAGCATGTATCCAAATTCTGCTCTCAGAAACAGGAGAAAACAGGCTGTGGATTTCAGGATTTTCCAGGGGAAAACAAATTTAGTTTTCACAAAGTAAAAGCAAACATAGAACTTAGTACTAATGATTCTAAAATCCTCTTGAGCTATGGCCTGGCTCAAAAATTCTAAAAAAGCATCAACAGAACAAATGTGCAGCCTGAGTGAATGTAGCTTCGTTGTGCAACATCTGGCAGTTGATTGTCCTAGTGCTGTCATTTCAATCGATCTGAAGCCTTGTTTTGGAATCACAAGGATAAGTGAAACAAATATCACCTTTTTAGTCATCTGATTTGAAATGGAGGTGGGAATGAATTAGAATATGATACGGAACTGCATGCAAATTTAAAAATCCACTAGTCAGTACCAGCATCTGTAAAGGGCTTTTTGAAATTTATACAGCGTGATGATGCATCCTGATACTATAATCTTAAAATTACCTTGAGGGGTAATGGCTTTTTTTCCCCTTCCATCCCTTTTCTCAAAAGCACCTTCTACCTAAGTTGTTGTTCAAGGATATTTGGTATTTTTAAGATAAAAAAAAAATAAAACAGAAACATGGCATTGTTTGGGAGAATTGGAGCAGAACTTAATTTTCTGGACTTTGAATCTCCTGATTAAATAATGCCTATTATTGCATCATTGGATATACAGGTTAAACTGCCATTTTATTACTGATTACTCCACCTTAAATTTATGGTGAATTACACAGATATTTGGAACTTTGTACAGTGAGCCCCGTTCCACTTCATATGTTCCTGCTATGCTACTAATGACCCCAAGCGGCAGGAGAGCTGCTTTAGAAGGAGTTGTGACCCCAGTAGAATTGGTAATAGATCACTTTCCTCCCCAAACCCCAAAACCTTGGCTGGTATTTTCCTGAATTAAATGAAATAATCAAAATCTCAGGAAAGCTTCACCATGTAGTTCATCTCTTGGAATTGAAGCTGTTTCTGATACTAATTAAACAGAATTCACTTTAGGACAATAGTCCACCTATCTCTCAAGTCCCCAGAAAGCCTACATGACCCCTCCTCTTTGTGTACTTCCTATGGGACTGTCTGAGAGAAAAATATACAGACCATTGTTAAAAATGTTTACTCCATTTGGGTTGCTGCTTTTCTCATAGTCTACTTTTAATAACTTCTAATAAGTCATTTCCATTTGCTTGAGCTTCAAGCATAGTCCATCATCTGTATTTTTCAATTTATGATTGGTGGCCATTTTACTATGACAATGTCAACCCTAAAAGAAAATGTACAAAGTCTTTATGTGGCTGATGAACCTTGATGTATCCCTACTACTGATACTACATGCTATATTATGCCTTCTAGCTATTGTGGAATTTCCTCTGAACTTTTAGTTATGAGTAGGAGCAATAAGTTGTTCTTATATTTTGAATAATTCCAGTGTATTGGCATAATTTATTTAAATGTCTTTAATTTTGATATTCACATTGGCATAAATCTATTTTTGCTACCAGATGATAGCTATTTTCATGTGCTCAGTTTTCCTCTGCATCTTTGTATTAATCTGGTACTTGGTGTTAGTCTTTATTTTTCTCTGTTGGAAATGTGTATCCATAAGTTCCTGCAAATCATAACATTCTAAAATGCAGACCATCTTTGGAGACTTTGGTTTTGGGGGATGCAATGATCAGAAGTTGTTAATTTATTTTATTCCTGATGACTTTATCTTCCTCTGTCACACACAGAGGATAGTATTTTTTATGGATATTTGTAAATCTTTCATCCAACCATTTATAATATTGTTTTCTGTTTAGATCTCATTCTTCCATCCATTCCCCTTCACCTCCCTCAACTCTTACTTATTTACCCACCTCGTGTAGCTAATTGATTGTGAATAAATAACATGGAAAAGCATCCTTTGTCTTTGTTTTTCCAGGTGAATGGGTCTAACGGGCTGCTGAAAGGGGCAGAGCAAGACTCTAGATTCTTTAGAGGAAGAAACACACCAGGTTACCCAAAGAGACTGGGGTGGGAAATAAGAATATCCTGGGACATAAAGAAACTTTGAGGGGCCTCCTTGGTGGCTCAAGAGGTTAAAGCCAGTACTATGAAGCTATCCACAGCCACTGCAGTATGAGTTTGCACCCCAAGTTTGATCCCTGTTTCTTCCCCGGCATGGGCAGTGACCCTCATGGCATGGCAAACCTTTCATGTCTCACCTGCTGTTCCCCTCAGCAGTGTATTTCAGTAAATCGCCTGTTCTGTTCCCCACTCTGTCTCTGGTGAATCCTCCCCGCACCTCTGGCCTGTACCCCTGTTCTTGTATGCATAAATAAATAAATCTTAAAAGAAAGAAACTTAGAAACCATAATGTTGCTATACTTTTGATCCCAGCATTTCCCAGATATACTACAAACCTAAGTCCCCAGCCTTTTACTTAGGACAGGGGCCCTGAGGCAGCTGGAACCCCAGAGAGCCACCAAGGAATCCCCTTTGTTTACTCCAGCATCCTTTATGGAAAGAGCGTTATTTTGTGTGTGTTCTAACACACAAAAAGGAAAACGCTAACTATTTGCACTGATTTTGGACGCTCATAAAGAACTGACTCATCTCCTGCCATCCCTAAGCTGTGTCCTTGGCAATGCTAGAAACACTCCTGGCTTTCACTAAAGTTCCACTAGATTCCATTTGTTGTACTTATGGTGTTAGACATTGTGCTGGATCTGAGTTAAGGAGATAAAGTCACCCTTCTGCAGCCCTAAAAAATATTAAAATCATATGCAGTTCATGAACCTTGATTGGATTTCTAACTTAAAAGATAAACTATAAAAGATGTTGTGAGGATAACTGGTGACATTTACATGTAAGCATAATAAAATTATTGCTGATTTTCTGATCTGCATTATGGTTTCACCGGTTGATTTAAATCAAATCTGCCGTTAAAGGAGTCATTTTCTAACATTATTCAAAATGTGTTGTGAACACCTAAGGAAAACTTAAAACTTTTTTTTTTGACCTTTTTTGAAGGAGGTATGCACCTTAAGATTTCAACTTTGAAGAGATGATAATATTTAGAAGTACAAGTTGCAGGCCACCTGTTTACAAACTTAGTAATACTATTTTCTTGTTGTGGGTGACCATCCCAGGCAGGGTAGGTTCACCCTCGGGTCTAGCATTGACCCGAGAATTATGGACCCTTCACATCGTTCTCCCAGGTTTTAATGGGAGGAGGAAACAAGTCAGCAACTAGCCAGCAATTGAGCCCCACCTCCGAGGTGACGCTGCCCTTTCAGCCCCTCCCTCCTATGCACAGGTGTGTACACTTGCACATGCGCACACACCCAGACTCAGGTGCCCATAATCAGACACACGGCCCCGCACCCACGAGCTTTCCACGTTAACGAGATTGATGCTGCAGGTGATAGGCCGTGGAGGCCGATGGCATAAAAAGCCCCAGCAACTTCATTTACCTACACTAGTCCTACCAACAAATGCCAGCAGTGACACTAATGCTCATTAGTGAGCAGCAAATCAGGACATCACTGTCCTGGTTGACTCTGCTCAAGGATTCTTGGTGAACTCCCAAAGAGGGATCCCTGCGAAACAGAATCCACCGCTGATGCTCCAAGACCCACTTGCCAGGCTCTGAGCTGTTGTGGGCAGATGAGCAGCAGCTGCAGGTGGTTCTGCACGGAGGCAGAGCGCTGGAGCGCGAGGCAGGAAGTGGGGCCCAGAGTCGCTGAGGGAGTGGAGAAGGAGACCTTCTGCCTCTGCCAAAGAACCCTGACCCGGAGCGGGGAGGAAAAGCTCCCCAAACTGTCTCCACAGACCTCCATTCACCCCATCAACTGGATGAGAGCGAGCGCAGGGACCGGGGGTGAATAAGTTCTTAGAG